GTGTATGTGTGTATGGATGTGGTGTGTGTGTGTGTGTGTGTGTGGTGTGTGTGTGTGGTGTGTGTGTGGTGTGTGTGTGTGTGTATGTGTGTGTGTGTGTGTGTGGTGTGTGTGTGTGTGTGTGTGTGTGTGTGTGTGTGTGTGTGTGTGTGTGTGTGTGTGTGTGTGTGTGACTCTGTATTTGCATCAACACAGCAGTGTTCACTTCCTTCGCAGTATCTGATTTGGCTCCAGCACTCCTCAGAATTTTGGAAACAATTGCATTTCTCTTTTGTTTTTCTCTCTCCATCCATCCGTCCGTTTCTGTCTTATCCCGCTCTCTCTTCAACTTGTCACACTTCCTCCCTTTTCCTTATTTTTGTCTTCCTTTTTCCCCCTTGATGTAGGCTACTAGCTCAGCTGACACACATGGGCGACCAAGCAGAACACACTTGTATATAGCGCTGCCTAGCAAGGGTGTGTGTGTGTGTGTGTGTGTGCCCTGGAGTGAGTAGTGAAACTACTGCTAAACTAGCTCAATTTGTCAAGAGCGGAGAGGTGTGGGCCTTGAGGACTGCTGTGCCGCTGTCTTCAAGGTAAACAGAGGAGTGTGGATTTAAAGGAAAACAAAAAGAAATTCAAGGATTAAATTCCCATACTCACATACACACACAAACAAACAAACACACACACACACATACTTGTGTTCTTTTGGATCAGCCTTACTGGAACAAACACCAGGAGGAAAATATACTTCATCAATGTCACTCCTTCAGTGTGTGTGTGTGTGTGTGTGTGTGTGTGTGTGTGTGTGTGTGTGTGTGTGTGTGTGTGTGTGTGTGTGTGTGTGTGTGCGTAAACAAGAGGCCCCCCACCTCGACGAGGCAACGTATCATTATTAAAGGGGCAGTGCGTATAAATTATCAGCTGCTAGCCCCAATGAACTAAATAAAGAAAACAATGTCACGGCGCGGTCACAGTTCGAACGTCTACTGAACAAATGATAAATGTATCTGTCTCTCCTCCTCCTCTGGACTGTTGCCACGGCGATTAATTCTGGGACGCAGAGAGAGGGAGGCATATTTTAGACAGCCTTGCTTCAAAAACCACAAGCTTATCACACCTACACACACATACAACCAACCTCCTACCACACACACAAATATTAATTCATACACACGTTAAGTTATAGGTGGGTGAGGTTCAGAAAGTGTGTGTGTGTGTGTGTTAACATTTGTTTTTCCTCCGTTTTTGAGGGGATAGCAAATTAACGAAAAGCAATTAAACACAGAAGAGGGGTGAATTAATAATTTGTGCCGGTGAGATAATAAGAAATGCAAAAGCGAACGTGTTTTTTTTAAAGTTATTAATTAATCTCTATCTGACGCTGAAGCTTTCACACTCAAGTGTTGAGGGGAAGTTTTCATTCCATTTCATTGTTGCAGTCATTCATCTCGGGCCTTTTTGTTCAACTTCAAACTTACTGCAGCTGGCCTTGAATTGGATAAAAGCTGGGGACTTCATTGGCAGAATCAGCTTAATGAGATTGTAAACATCAGAAGACAGGTTCATTCAAGATAAATTCAATGATTTTCAGCCGGGATTTTTGTAGCCAACACCAGGACTTATTTGAGTATCACACATTTCATTTCATCCCAGAAGGGTATCTACAATGTATTATTTGCTTTAAAGTGGACAGTTAAAATATTACTTCATGCCATTTTCCAGATTCATTGACGTTCCAAAGGTTGGCCGTTACATTTGTTTGGAAAATGATCACAAATACAGTATGTCGTTTATAGAATAGTATAGTATTGCCTTTTGTAAAAAACAGTATATATATTTTCACTAGGACTACTTTTATGGCCTAGAAATAAAGGGGAATGCTTGGAATTGAGCATTGCTCTTCCACAAAGGTTGGGTCTCACAAGCAACTTAAGCAAAAATAAAAAGGTTAATTGAAATAGGCTCATATAAAAACACTAAACCCCTCTTAAACGGTGGGGAGCACATACTGTAATCTGCCTGCTGATGTTACAGTCGATTTATGTAGCATTGAATTTAAATAACAGAAAAAGTTAATTGTTGAACAAATCTGTTGAGCTAACTAAGCTAAGATAGCCATTAAAAAGGAAAACAAAGTATAATGATTCTTGATCAACCATATGGATAATTGTTTAACATAAAGATAGCAAAACAAAATTAAAGAATTCACAGGAAAAGTGGGCATAAGCTAAAAGCTAAACTAGCAAACATGCTATAGTTATTCTCTCTGGGACCGTTACTACATTACATGTCACTTGTTAGACGCTTTTATCCAAAGCGACTTACATACTCAATACTGTGGACAATCCCCACAGGAGCACTTTGGGGTGAAGTGTCTCAGGGACACAACGACATGCTGGGGTTTGAACCTGTGACCCCTTGATCTGAACACCAACGCACTAGTCCACTGCACCACACTACATGATTCCATTGTCTCCAACTGTTCTCCTACTGTTCTCTCCCCTTGTCTTCTTCTCTTTCTTGTCTTGGGAACAGAAAGAGCAGTGGACAGTCAGATGAATGCCCTCGGCCTCTAACACACTCAGTCTTCCTCTTTATGTCTATCTGCGATAGCCTTATAGCCAGGAGGAGACACATAGGAAGACCTCTGGAACAGGAGAGCAGCACTCACATATGTTTGGACTGTCTGTCCTCCTGCTGGGCTGCCATTCATCTCCACTTTGGCACATTTGTCACAGCTATTGACAACAACAAGTGACTTCCTTTAGCATATAGGCAGAAATGTCAGACTGGTGGAGTAGCTTTAGCGTATTAGCACAGGTGGTAAAAACACAACAAATGTGCATGTAGATAGTGAAACATACACGCCTTTCCTATGTCTGCGCATCTGCCTGCGCTTGTGTCTGCTTATGTGAGTGTCTGTCGCCCTAGTCGGATGTGTAATTACAAAGGAGAGACGATAAGCCAGTTTTTTCTCTCCTCTCCTGTGGGAGCTCACAGCTAATTATAGAGCCAGCGGAGCTTCAAATTGCCATTTAAAACAGCCATACGGTGGGAGACAATAACACACTCCCCTGGTGGTGTCACCGCTGTGTAGTAAGTGTGTCTGCACGGAAGTATCACAGCAGAAGAGATATGGCAATGGAAGCAGCAACAGTAGGGAGAGAAAAGTACCCTGCAGCCCTGTTAGCTGAAAATAACTGAAGTTATATGTTAGTAGACTGAAGCTAACGGTGTGTAGACAGCTTTAGGGGAAGATTAAGAAGTGACAGGTTAACGTGTGGAGTGAGGTCAACATCATTAAAGGGGAACGTTTATTTATTTGTTTTTATGTAGTCATCTAATGCGGGCAAATAGCTTTAATTCCATTATAAGTCATCAGAGAGGGAAATGATTCTCCTAAAGGTAAATGCTGTTCCCAAATTGGGGTTAAATAAGGTACTTATCCATAGTAAGTGTATGACCTACAGTGGATGGCGGCTAAACACCAATAGTTTGAAGAAACTAACTAAAAAGTGCTGTCGAAGGGGGCAGCAACATGGTGTATTTAAGTAACCTAAACAATCGATATCCTTCACAAAACGTGCACAGTATGGAATATCTTCTCCACTTTAGATATCTGTCTGTGTATC